ATGTCCAGAATAAGCAAATCCATAAAGATAGGAAGTAAATTAGTGGTTGCCAAAGGCCTGAGGGAATGGGAAGAGGGATTGACTTCTAATGGGTACAGGGTTTCTTTTTGGGGTGATGAAAATATTCTGGAATTAGGTAATGGTGATGGTTGTGAATATACTCAAAACCAAAGAGTCATACATCTTGAGCTTGTTCGAGGTCTGCTAAAGAGGGAGTATGGACAGAGAAGAAGGCCGGGGATTGAGCCTAGCGCTCCCCTCCACTTGCCTGTCACTCTTTACAATGGGCAGGTAACTGGATAAAGCTAACAAGGCATGAGGGGATATCTGTTGGGGGCTTTCTGGGAAACTCTTCTTAGCTTTTAAAACAGGACACAAGATAGAGATGTTTCCCCTCTTCTGGCTCTGAACATTGTCTTGTTCATGAGATACTCTGAACTGAGGCCACCATCTTGAGCCACGAGGAAAGCCACCAAAAAGAGCAGCCAAGCCCTGACCGGTTTGGCTCGGTGGATAGAGCGTCAGCCTGTGGACTGAAGGGTCCCAGGTTCGATTCTGGTCAAGGGCATGTACCTTGGTTGCAGGCACATCCCCAGTAGGAGGTGTGCAGGAGGCAGCTGATCGATGTTCCTCTCTCATCGATGTTTATAACTCTCTATCCCTCTCCCTTCCTCTCTGTAAAATATCAATAAGATATATTTAAAAAAGAAGAAGAAGAAGAGCAGCCAACTTGCTGATGTTGGCAGTGTAGGCTGATAGGAAGGACTTGGGTTCCTGATGCTGTCACTCGACTGAATTAACCAGTCCTGAAATGGGCTCACTCTGACTTCTTGTTCAGTGAGATAAACCCCTTTTTGAGTGATTTTGATTTGTGTTTTCTGTTCCTTGTAGCCAAAGGCACTGTCCCTAATAGAGTATCAAATGCTGCTGAGATAGCGAGTAATACAAGGACAACACGGAAGCTGTAGATGTCCCCTGGTATCTGCTTTCTCTTCTTTGCAATAATGGAATTCACAGCTGGGTTGTGGCCATGAGACGAAGTTCTAGCCATGAGGTACAAGCTGAAGGGTGTGGTCATACCCTCTAAGGAAAAAGCTTGAGCATGCCCTCTGGTTCTCCTTTCTTTCCATTTTTAATTTTCTTTCATGGACTGAATATGTCCTCTAAAATTTATGTTGAATCCCTAACCCCAAATATGACCTTGCATGGAAATAGGGCCTTTAAGGGGTAATTAATATTCAATGAGGTCATAAGGATGGGGCCATGATCCCATAGGATTAGTGCCCTTATAAGAAGAGACACCAAAGAGTGCTTTTCCCTCCCATGTGAGGACTCGGTGAGAAGGTGGCTAACTGCAAGCCAGGAAGAGAATCTTCACCAGAAACCAAATCCTGCCAGAACCTTGATCTTGGACTTTACAGCCTCCAGAACTGTGAGAAAATAAATTTCTGTTGTTTCTGCTACAGTCTATGATATTTTGATGGGCAGCCCGATCTGACTGATACATTGGCTAAAATAAAAGCTTGATGGCAGAGGCTAGAGCAGCACTCTTGGAGCATGAGAAGGAAGCCCTATATCAAGAATGGCAGAATGTCCCAGCCAGTGGCTCGGTTGGTTAGAGCATCTTCCTGTACACCAAAAATGTTGTAGGTTTGATTCCCGGTCAGGACACATACCTAGGTTGAGGGTTCAATCCCTAATTGGGGCATGTACAGGAGGCAACCGATGTTTCTCTCTCACATTGATGTTTCTCTCTCTCTCATCAATAAACATATCCTTGGGTGAGGACTTCAAAAAAAGAAAAGAATGGCAGAGCAGTAAAAGAGAAGGAATTTGGATCCTTAACAATCCTGAGCTCTAGATCTCCAGTTCTAGATCTCCTACCAGGACTTGTAAGTGAAAGGGAAAAATACATTTGGATATTGTTCAAGCCTGTTATTTTCTGGTAGATTATACTACTTTTCAGCAAATACTGGCATTCATTCTCTCTCCTCTTCCCCTTTATGAGAGGGATATATTTCCCCTGCCCACTGATAGATCACAGGCTTGGCCATGTGACTTGCTTTAGACAACAAAATATGAGCATATGGGATGTGTATCATGCCAAAGCAGACTTTAGATATGCTTGTGTGGCCTGGTTTGGTTTCTGGGTTCCAGCCTCCTCTACAGGAAGAGCATGCCCTAGGAAACTGCTGTTCCTTTCCTGGATCCTGGAATGAGAGGCTAATAAAACAGACCTGAACCCAACCCACAGCCTGAAATAGAACCATCACAGCCAACATGCAGAACCATGGGAGGAAAGTAATTTTTGCTTTAAACCAGCGATTTTTCATCTGATGGCACACATAAACGAATACTAAAATTCTGCAGCACAAACTAATACTAAAATTCTGCAGCACACCAAAAAAAAAATATTTTTTTGCCCATCTGACAAAAAAAATTATCATTTTGATTCATTCATACCAAACAGCTATTGTTGTGTTGTCTGTTGTCATTTTTTTTTAAATTTTACAGTCTCAAGGAAAAGCGATCCGAGCCCCTGACTAAATAATCAGAATTTGCCCGTTTTAAAAATTCTTGTGGCACACCGGTTGAAAATCGCTGCTTTAAGCTATGCAATTTAAGGATTGTTTGTTTTGCTTCTTATCACAGCAAAAACTGAAGAATACAGGTTCTCTCTGTTATCATATCAGAGCTCATCTTCTAACTATAAAACAAGGGATGAAAATAGGCCCTTGAATCTCATGACACGAAGGTCACTGGTGACCTTGGGAAAAATTGCCTCAGTGGAGTAGTGAGGCCAGAAGGCAGACTGGAGCAAGCTGAGCAGTGAGTGAGAGACAAGGAAATGAGATGTGTGCAGGCAGCTCTTTAGAGAAGTGTGGCTGTGATGGGAAGGAGAGGGGTGGGCACTGGCTGGAGGAGGGGCTGTGAGGCCAGTGGCAGCCTTGCAGAAGTGCTGCTCAGACCTGCCCTGGAGAAGGAACTTGCTGATGAGATGTGAGGAATTCAGTCAGCTGACAGCCTCCTGTCTAGCACCTTCCGGAAGCTCTGCAGCATTTGAGCCGAGACCACACTCTTGCCGGGCATTTCCCAGGCAGTGACAGAGCATGGCAGGGGTACCAGCACCTGAAGACCCAACCAACACAGGTGGGAAGGGTTTTCTGTTGTTTGCTTTCTTTTTTTTTTTTTGCTTTTTTTTTTTTTAATTTCAGAGAGGAAGGGAAAGGGAGGGAGAGATAGAAACATCAATGATGAGGGAGAATCATTGATCAACTGCCTCCTGCACACCCTACACTGGGGATTGAGCCTGCAGCCTGCCATGTGCCCTGACGGGGAATGGAACCGTGACCTCCTGGTTCATGGATTGATGCTCAACCACTGAGCCACACCAGCCAGGCTGTTGTTTGCTTTTAATGATAGAGAGCAGAGTGTGCTTAGAAACTCAAAGTGAAGAATCCAGTTGGGAAAGAGCAGATGACTAGGGAAGGGAAAAGACACCCAGATGGAGAGAGGGAGGTCCCTGTGAAGGCAGAAGGAGATGAGGTCTGGACTGAGGGGGAGTGGTTCCTCCGGCCAGGGAGGAAGGAAAGGCAGGAGAGAAGGAGGAATGAAAGCAGGGTGATGGCAGACCTCCCATCAGAGAGTTTTCTTTTTCTGAAAAGTGGGAAGCAAGATGAGATCTGAGAGTCAGGAAACTAAGTCCTTCTACGTGCATGGGCTGCGTCTCCATTTTCCGCTCTTGGCCTTGGTCTTCCCACCGGCAACATAAACCGCTTTAGCTAAACCCCAGTCCCCAAACATGTTTGAGCCTCAGAGGCTTTTGAGAAATACACTTTTAGGGGGAAACCATCCCTGAACTGCTTGATCAGAATCTTTGAGACAGAAGTAGTAGAAGCAATAATCTATATACAGGGTGTCCCCAAAAAATGTATAGACACTTTAACAGCTGATAGCTCAATATTGAAAATGAAATGTATTTTAATAAACACTGCCTTTATAATTATTCAAAGTATGTATATACATTTTTGGGACACCTTTTATATTTTTAAAAGTGCCCTTTGGCCCTAGCTGGTTTGGCTCAGTGGATAGGGCCGTGGCCTGTGGACCTAAAGGTCCTGGGTTCAATTCTGGTCAAGGGCATGTACCTCAGTTGCAGGCTCCTTCCCGCCCCGGGCCCTGGTCAAGGCGTGTACAGGAGGCAATCAATTGATGTATTTCTCTCACATCGATGTTTCTGTCTTTCCGTCTCTCGTCCACTCTCCCTAAAAATCAATGGAAAATATCCTCCAGTAAGGATTAACAATAAATAAATAAATAAATAATAAAATGTCCTTTATTAAAAAAATATTTCTCTCTGTCTTTTCCTCTCTTTCACTCTCTCTAAAAAATTAATGGAAAAATATCCTTGGGTGAGGATTTAAAAAAAATAAAATTAAAAATAAATTAAAAACACATGGGGAAAAGAGTGCCCTTGGCCATGATGGGATGCATAAGTCAGGTTTGGGAACCGCCCTGCAGGGCCTCCAGCTCTGTGGTTCCAGGGAGAAGGTGCAGCATTTTGCTGAAGGTATAAACTATAGAATAAGCCACATGCCACACTTCCTGTCACCTATAACTACAAAGGCCCAAAAGGTACCAGAATTCAAGAGGAACCACAGTAAGATAAAATCAGTAGCAAAATCAGAGCCCCCACCTACGTGGAAAACTCACCATGCACACTCCGGCCCCTGTGGCCATGTTTCCAAGCCCCCAGGTGGGCTGTGGGGCAGGTCTTGGTAAAAGGAACTCCCCAGGCAACAGGACTAAGGGGTTGAATCAGGGCCATCACAGGAGATCAGGGATGCTTGGCTGCCCTGCAAAGGGGTGGAGACCAACCCAGGCATTTCTGAAACCTGAGACCTGGAGTTGGGGGGAGGGGAAGGAGGGGCTGCCTGGCCCTGAGTGCCCAAGCCAGCCCCCCCCTCCCCCCTTACAGCTCCTCCTCTGCCTGGATGCCCCTTCTCTAGGGCTGCTCCAGACTGTGCAGGACACCTCCACTCTCCCTTTGCCTCCCTCTGCCCCTAAGGCTGGGTGGGGACAGGCTGGGGCCACCAGCAGCTCCATGGACAGAGACGTTGCCTCTGCTCACCTTCCAGCTTTGGAAAGAAAGGAAGAAAGATCTGCGTTGATTTGCATTTGGGGGATCCTACACCCTCCTAAACTTCTGGGGGCAGAAAAAGTGATTTGACCTTGCATTGACTGTAGAAGAAGGGACAGAAAGAGCCCAGAGCATTCTCCCAGGTATGAATTGGGGGGGTGGGGGGGTGTAAAAGTTTTCCACTGTCAGATGTGGAGTTGTTCTTGATGATCTCCCAGACCCCTTCTGACTGCTTCATTCCATGATTCTGCAGCACTAAACTTCATTCAGTCATTCAATAAACATTTCCTGTGTACCCATCCTGGGCCAGGTACTGCTATTGAATAAAACCTAGTCAGTCCCTGCCTTCAAGGATTCATAGTCTAGATGGGAAGATTGTGAATAGCTGCCGTACTTACAGTGCGTCAGACACTGAGCTACCCCTTTTATAAACTTATTTAACCCAGCAACAACTGTAAGAGGTAAGTGTATTACTAACCCCGTTTCACAGATGAGGACAGTGAGTCTTACTTAGCAAGGTGAGGTCACACAGAGTAGGTAGTAGTTGGTGGAGCTGGTGGAGTTGTGTTATGCTGCCTGCCTGCCCTGCACTTAAAGAGACAGTTCAGGGCAAAAGGTGTACTCATGAAGGGTGGGGAGGGAGCGAGAGTGCTTTAGAGCAGCGGTCGCCAACTGGTGGTCCGTGGACCACTGGTGGTGCGTGAGGTCCGAAAGGTTGGCGACCACTGCTTTAGAGAGCCAAGTTCAAACAGGGCAGGGAATGGTTAACCTTCACTTTGACCAAGGTTCCCAGGGAGTGAGGCAGAAGCAGGCTTGGGGCCAAGTGTGGAGCTGGAGGTAGGCAGGCCCCAAGAGCCCACTGGGAGCTCTTTGGGTCAGCTGGGACTTGAGGTCAGTGGGGATCAGGATCAAGGACCCTTCTCCATCACCCCTAGCCTGGGGTGGCAGGGGATACAGTGGGGTGACTTGAGGATTCCCAGCCAGGCTCCCTAGAAACTGGGTGTCCCATATTCTTATGGGTGGGGCTGACCTGACCTGGAGGCAAGCGTCCCAGCAGCCTGAATGTTGCGTGTCCTGAGGCCCAGGAAGTGGGGGGCAGACCCCCATCACTATGGATCTCCTCAGCAAAGATTGGACTGTGGCTCCCCCTACTCACAGCTCTCAACTCCCATCTCCCAGCTGTCTCCAGGCCAGGCAAAGGGAGGACAAAAGCTGATTATTCCACTGGGGGCTGTCCTAGGCCCCATGAATGGGGTATTGAAAACCCCGTGCCCACATCCAGATAGGTTTTCATCCTCTCTCCAACCAGACTCTTTGTATGCCAGGGCCGAGGCACAGCCAGGGAGAGATGGGGGAGGGGTGTGTGTGCTGGGAGGGGCACCCATGGACCTGCACTCTCAATGTATTGAAAACAGAACTATCCCCTCAGCCTGCACCCCACCCCTGTTTTGTATGTGAAGAAAGCAGGCCTGGGGGTGTTTCTGGGATGCTGGTTACGTGATGTAAATGTTCACTGAGTTCTACACTTATGGCTTCAGTACTTTTTATTTGTATACCTCAATCCAAAACTTAACAACAACAAATCCTCAAGGGCTTCTCATCCCCGAAAGACAGAGCATCCCAAATGGCATTTATTCTCTCAGCCCTTCACCACTGTTTTGCATATTTGTGAGTCGTAGGAACTATATTTCCTTGACTTTTTAATTGACTCATTTCTTCTGATTTAAATTAACTTTAAAGAGAAACTTTATGTTGTTCCAATAAATGGAAAACCAGGATCCTTTGCCATAAATAGAAGGCATTGTTTAAAAAAAAAAAAAGCAATGAAAATAAAACCATAAATATTCATTTATCTCCCCCTAAATTGATGTGGGTTGCCTTTGGGATGCACTGCCCTGGAGGATAAACTCAGTCCTGGGCACAGCTACGTGGCCTTTCTGGGTTTGGACCCAGGCAACCTTCCAACTTCATCTCCCACCATTCATTTTCACACACTCACTGCTCCAGCCAGACCTAACTCCTCATTAGCTTCCATCTGTGCTCCCTTCCTTCTCATCTCCCAGCTGTTGCTCCTGCTGCCTCCACGCAGAATGCCAAACCCAAGTGGAAATATCACTTCCCCCTGAAGCTCTCACTGGGACCTTCCAGCTGGAAGAAGTGACTTGGAATTTTTAATTCCAGATGTTCCTGCTGTGACTTCTTCACCAGCTCCGTGATGGAACCATTAGAAAGGCCATCGACTGACTGGACACACAAGGAAGCAGAAATTCTAATTGGTCCCCAACCAGATCAGAACAGGGGGTGGAGCCCTGGAGACAGGAGTACAGTACCTGCACCTATCCCCCCAGCCCTATCCTTCCTCCTCCTCTTGCCACTGGGTGAGTGCTGTCCCCCTAACCCCAACCACTTCCCTTTCTGACTCGCAGTTTTCCCAGCTGTAAAATTATGGTGGGAGGTGGTTTGTAAATGAGGCAGTTTCCAACATTCTTTCCATCTCCGACATCTGTCCAGGGTTGATTAGAGCTAAGGGTCTGACTTGGAGAAGCGGAAGGCTCAGTGCTGGAGGTGAGGGATCAATGTGCACAGAGTATGGGCAGTTAAGGGACATTGGAAATAGGAAAGGAGGGAAAGGGGATGGGCTTACTAATGGCTGTTGGAAAGGCAGCTGGTCGGATATATGAAACAAATGACTTAGGGACTATCCTAACTTAAAAAATGAAGAAACCAAGTCTCGGTTTTTTTCATCTGTAAAATGGGTACCTCAGTACATGTCTCAGAGCATTATTATAAGGATTCTCTGAAGTGATGTACGTGAAAGTGTCTAAACACAGTAATAGCTTGTGCACAAGTGGACTATTATGGAGTTTTCAATTTCCCTTGGTAGGCCAGTTTCCCTGTTTACTCCCTGCCTCTCAGGCCACGTACTCAGAATTGTAAGGTGAAGGCGAGTGTGGCGATTTCGGTTGGAATCCCAGTTCTACCTTTTGCTGTGTGGCCTTGAGCAAGTTGCCTAACCTCACTAAACCTGAAGTTTCCCCATCTGCAAAATCCTACCTACTTTATAAGTTGTCTTGATGATGAAGTGGGCCAGGCCACATAGAGCAGTGAGCACAGTGCCTGGAATGTACATTCACGAGAACTGAAGCAGAAGGACTCATCTAGGTAAAGCTTTGGGGGGGAATCACAATGAACCCCAAAACCAGTTCACACACGTAAAGCAGAGCTACTGAGCATCTGCGGAATAACAGGCTCCGGGCAGAGGGCTCTGTGGGACCCCAAGATGAGACAGGCATGGACACATTGCCAGGCAGGAGGCCCAGAAAGGGGAGTGTGTGTGGTGCCCAGTGACTCAGAAGGAACAGAGAACACTTTTAGCTGAGGGCTCCAGGAAGGCTTTCTGGAGGAGGGGGTTCTGAGCCAGGTCTTGAAGACTCGAGAGGGCTGTAATGAGCAGGATTGACCAGAGGAGACTGCATGGTTCAAATCCTGGAGACAAGACTGATGGGATATTAAGAAGGTGAGGCTGGTCAGAAGATACTAGAAGGCTTTGTAGAGAAAGCTCAGGGACTGGGACTCCTATAAGAAAAGAGGAGTGTTTGAGAAATTTAGCAGCGGAGTGGGGATAAACAGATCTGTCTTAGGCAGCTCTCTCTGGGTCCTCCATGACCAATGGGAGAGGGTGAAGCAAGGAGGCCAACTGGGACAGTCAGGGCAAGAGGTGAGACTTGGGGGAAGTAGGAGTAGTGAAGAGGAGGGGCATGATGGAAGAGGGGGCCAATGCTCTCCCCACTCTGTTTCAGCCAGTGCCCTACAGCCCACCCCACTGCCTTTTCCAGGTAGGTGCCCCTGCTCCTTCCTCCCCATCCCCCCTACTCCGACCCCAGGTACTCAGATGCTCAGACAGAAGACCTCTATTGTTTTAGATGCCCCAAAGGGACTGCACCAGTCTCCCCAATATATAGGAAGGGAGAAATGAGATCTAGAAGGGACTGTTGTTAAGGCTCCCATAACTTCATGGCAAGATGGGCATCCTGTAGGTTGGACCCAGGGATCCCCCAGGTGCCAGTTCAACCCTCTCCACAGAACTGAGGTTGGTGGGGGGTCCGAGCCGCTGCCGGGGGCGTCTGGAGGTCCTGCATGGTGGCTCCTGGGGCAGCGTTTGTGACGATGACTGGGACGTGGTGGACGCCAATGTGGTATGTCGTCAGCTGGGCTGCGGCCTGGCGCTCCCCGTGCCGAGGCCCCTTGCCTTTGGGCAGGGCCGAGGCCCCATCCTGCTGGACAACGTGGACTGCCGTGGGCAGGAAGCTGCTCTGAGCGAGTGCGGCAGCCGAGGTTGGGGAGTCCACAACTGCTTTCACTACGAGGATGTGGCTGTCCTGTGTGACGGTGAGCAGAGTCCTGTGACCTAGAGGGCCGGCTGTGTCAGATAGCGGGGCTGAAGGCTAGATGAATGAAGGGACTTCCCAGCGATAACACTGTTCCATGTAGAAGACCAAGCCAGTGGCCGCATTGCATTGTGTTGGGGAAGAGCTCCAGTCTGGCCAAGAGCCCTGGACCCCAGTGGTGCTTCTAGCTCAGTGTGTGGCTTTGGTCAAAACTCAACATTACTCCTTCCATGTAGGACTTTGTTCCAGCAAAGTCCCCTTCTCATTTTTTTTTTAAATATATTTTATTGATTTTTTACAGAGAGGAAGGGAGAGAGATAGAAAGTTAGAAACATCGATGAGAGAGAGACACCGATCAGCTGCCTCCTGCACATCCCCCACTGGGGATGTGCCCGCAACCCAGGTACATGCCCTTCACCGGACTCGAACCTGGGACCTTTCTGTCCGCAGGCCGACGCTCTATCCACTGAGCCAAACCGGTCTCGGCCCCCTTCTCATTTTTTAAATCAGATGATTGGGGTCAACACTGGCCACAGGTCCACTTGGCATAGAGTTACAGCAGAAACTTCTGAGGGCTTTGACCTTGAGAGCAGTGGTTTTAATTTTCAAGAAAATCCCCTGGAAGGCTCAGACTATGGCCCCATCCCAGTTTCTCCTTCTGCAGGGGTGGGGTTGAGCCTGAGAATTTCCCTTTCTAACAAGGTCTCAGGTGATGTGATGCTGCTTTAAGAACTAGAAGAACTCCTCTAAAGCTACTGCTTCCTGGACCCAGGGGGCCCTTTCACCTCTCCTATCCCCGGCTTTTATCCTTTGTGTGACCAAAGGCCCTGAGGAGCAGGCACCTTAGGGGTTCATGCCCTGCTACTTATACACCTGTGGGTGTGAGGATGGAGAACAGAAAGATCCATTTGTCACCCTCCCTTCCTTTCCAGAGTTCTTGCTCACACAAACCCCAACAAAGAAAGTGTTAACCAGCAGGGCACCCCCTACAACTACCCAGAATGGGAGAGGTAAGTAAAGGCAATGTGGGGGGCCACCTGGGTCTTAGGAGAGGGACCCAGAGAACAGTCTCTGATATCAACCCTAAGTGAAAAGAGAAGGATTACTGATGGTTGAGTTTGGTCATTCCTCCTCCCCATCCTGCCTCCTTTACTCCCTCAGGCTTCTCACCTTCTGGA